CAGAGTGTATTCACTGAGCATATGTTATGTGCTGGGTGAGTCTTGGATATTAGATGGTGGATGGAACTTGGCACTGTCTCCTCCCAGAGATTATAGTCCAGTGCAGGAGACAGACACTATTAAATCATAACGAATAATAAATGCAAAATCACAACTGTCACTAGTGCTAAAAGGGAGACGTATATCTTGGAATAAGAAAATCTGGCCTGATTACAGGGTCATGGAAAGCTTCTTTGAGAAGGTGACCACTGAGCTGAAATTTGAATAATGAGTAGAAATGTACTAGGCAAAGCAGAGAGGGAAGCTGTGTAGCAGTCTTGTGGTGGGGTGGTGGCATGGGAGGGGAAACGGTCCAAGGGTGCAGGGCATGCACCAAAAACTGAAACAAGGTCAATGGGATGGAGGGGAAAATAGGAGGAAAAGTATGGTCAAAAATCAAGACAAGACATAGCCAAACCACGTAGGATCTGGCAAGCCAGTTAACTTGTAGATAAAGGATGGATTCCCGTTCTGCAAGGCTAAACACCTAAATTTTATTTTAGATATATAACATGGTCTATCCATAGACTACTTGTCTGTGTAGCAATGCTCAACTCCAAATTGTTACCATTTGTGCCTAAGTTGTGATAGTTTCCAATGCATGAAGACACCAAATTTCTTAGTGCCAATAATGCCCATGGGTGATGTGACTACAACAAGTAGGATTAAATTTTTTTTGAAAATTATGCTGTGAATTAAATTACTTATAGGTATAATGGATTATAAATAACATGGTGTGAGCTATTGAACTCCTCTGTGCTTTTCACCTGTGCTGTAATAAGGTACAGTATAATTTGCAGTTTACAAATTTATGGACCGAGTGTCACAGCTCCAGAGTACAGCGTGTGGAATTGTGACCTTCTAAATTTAAATTTTTCTCTAACATTGGCTGGTAAAAGTTTTACTTTTACAATTGTGTGGCAATATCAGGGCCTGTTCCTTCCTAGTATTTCAGAATTCAGAAATCCCACAATTTCAAAATTAGAAGAGAACAATATTGATCATCTAGTTTATATTTCCTCTTGCTACCACTGGAAATACCATATTCATATATCTGAGTAAGGTGAGAATCTCTCCTTTAATAAAAAGATCTGGAAAAATATTTTCTGTCAGAATTCACATCTGCCATTTAATAATTCTTAAAGATTTCCACCCAAAACATTGTTCATTTTTGTCAAATACTAGCATACTACACCTTTACCCTCTTGTACTTGTTAAATTGACAGAAGTTTTTATGTTGTCAAAGATATTCTGGGGAATTTTAGGGCAGTTCTACATAAGGGGCTAATATTACATGTTGGCATGACTGAGGTCTAAAAGAGGATGGAATAGCATATTAAGGAGTGAGAATATCTGCTAAGCCCTGAGATAATGTATAGTTTCTTGAATTTAATTTATGTAAATTAAATTATATAAAATAATGTGAAAGTTTAAGGAACATGCATAAACACTAGGATAACAGGTAGATACTAAAGAGCATTTGAAGTATTGAAACATAAGCTTAGAGACCCCACTGAAAAGTATATAACATCACTAAGAGGAAAGACTGCAGCTATAAACATGAAGTTTTGCTCACAAAAGAAAAACACATTCTTATACAGTCCTTTTGGGAGAGTGAGGCAGGGATAAGTCAATATAACAAACAAATACACAAACTACACAACATGCTATTTTACCACCTTTGTCATGATTTGATGTATTCTACTAGTCACTTCTTAAAAGATTCATTGAAAATGAAATACCTGCATAAGACAATTCAAAAAGTATAAAACTGTAACCATTGTTTAATGATTATTTGTGTTTTGTCACAAACTAGCTTCTTTTGTTTCTTAACAACAAAAATTGGCTTTCTCTTTCCTGTGCTCTGGTCATCTCCGGTGATCTTTGGTTTTCCTTGTGTGGTTTCCTCACTCATGGTATGACAACCTGACTCCTGAGGGCATGGTTTGCAAATGGCAATCCTCTGAGCCCTGTAATTTATTTGAAAATAAGGTCCCTATGTATAAACAACCCCACAAATAAACAAATAGAGATATATTTAGGAGACTTCCAGATTTATTTTAATGCTCTTCAATTTTTCTGGAAAAGAAATGCTATGGAAACCATTCACTTCAAGCCCTAATCTGTCATAGAAACGATAGCAAAACAATGTATGGGAGCATGAAATTAAGCAACAGACTGTGTGTGATATAGACAATTATTGGTATATAGTTCAGAGCAAAGGGACAATTGTTCTGAAAGGGATGAAATGGCAAACATTTATTGAGTACTAAACATGCTAAAGCTCTTCTTAGTGTCTTCCACCAACCATTTCATTTAATCCTACAATGGCTTTATGAGGTAGATGCAGCTACTATATTCATTTCACACTGGGGAAAACTGAAACTCAAAGAGCTCATATGGCCGAGGGCGGTATCCCCAAACTTTTGGCACCAGGGACCAGTTTCATGGAAGACAATTTTTCTACAGATAGGGGGAGGGGGAAGGTGGAGGTAAAGCTCAGGTATGATGTACAGCCAATTCCTGACCTGGTACCTGGTCACCACCCAGGGGTTGGGACCGCAGGCCAAGGACGCAAGTAAATAAGTAGTAGAGCTGAGGTCAACACCAGGCAGTGTGACCTAGCAAGATACTTTTAGCAACCATTTAATCAACAGAAGAATAAAGAAAGTCTGAAAGAAGGCAGGTGACTTACTACAAAGGCACACAGCATTTTGATCTCAAAACTGGCATCAGAAAGCAGAGTCTTTTGCTATGAATGTGGACACTGATGTAATAAAAATGCAAAATTGTTTATGCTGGATCAAAACAAATGGCGTACATTATATCTTCCTACATTATGTTATGCCCTCTACTGGATTCTTAATTTTTAACTATTCCATGGGGACATTCAAGTCTTCCAGGTTATTAGGGAAAAAATGCCCTTCACTAAGCTCCAAGGAATATTTTTTCAAAACAAAGTAGTCTCCAATAAACTTTCCTTGAATTATGCAATATAGTCTTCTAATCTCTACTAATACACATACTTGATAGTCAAGATCTTGGTCTCATTTAGAGATGGGAACAAAAAAATCAGGCTTTCATTATTATGAAGAATGGTTCTACTTCTATAGACATAAAAATGGAGTAAGAAACATCTAGGAAGGAGCATCGGAACAAGAGATAATGTTCCTTTTCTACATTTAGAGCTCACCACTAGTGCAGCACAAAAACACACTTAGGGCATTTCTAATCCTTGGAGTCACTACTTTTAAAAAAACAAAAACACAAAAACTCAATTGTTCAACTGGTAGCATACATTTTTAAAATTTCATCTTTCTCTTTACTGTGTATTTTAATAATGGAAACAGCTATAAAAAAAAGAATAACTTGCTTTTTGATTCAGTATCAAAGTGGTCACTGAGATAGGAAATCCTTGTAACCACCACTGATTTCTTGCTCTTTGACATGAACCCGTCTAATTAAACATGGAATTTACAACACATGATATGAATTATACTTGTGGAGTGAAGGTACCTACTTTTATCAAAATTACCTAATTTGAGCATCATATTTTATATAATGAATATCATATACTGAAAGTTAACATTTTGGTGTGGTTAGTAAGGAAAAAAATGTAGTTACAGTTTCTTTCATTTGATTCATTTCAATATCAATTATTTTTGTTCTTTAGTCATTAATATATTTTACTGGATAAAAATACAGACAATGCATCTACTAAGTGTCTGTTTTGACCTTCTTCCCATTCATGTTAATTTTTCTAAGAACTCCTTTGCCTCTTGTTTTTGAATATCTACTTAATCAAATTAATGTTTACAACCTTTTTTTTTTCAGTTGCTGTCTTACAATATATTCTAAACATGATTTCTTATTACACAATACTACAAATAGAAGTGTGGAAAGGCTTAGAGAGCTACATGACATTTTTACTGTGCCCAAGGCTCTACTCTGAGAATATTTTGCTTGTCATTGTTTCATAAAAGTAAAATGAAGAGAAATCCATCTGTATAATCAGAGGGTTTAGAGATTATAGTTTCAGTGTTCGAGCATATTAAGAGAAGGCTGAATCTCTCCTTCTCTCCCTCTTTCTTTCTCCTGTCTCTCTCTCTCTTTCTCACTTTCTTTCTCCCTCTCTCTCACACACATACACATGCACACAACGTGCACACAAAAGATGACCCCCTTCTCTCAACTACATGATTTATGCCTAATTTGTTTTCAAAAGTGCTTTGCAAATGACAATGCATTACTTGAAAATTAGTATTACAATTATCGAGTTAGCATTCAATTGATAATATTTTTTAGGCTATGAAAATGAATTTTTATTCATCTTTTGGGATAAATCTGTTACGCAAACTAAAGCACACACCTGTGTTTTACAGTCATTTTTGTATGCTACTTTTTATTTTTAATATTTTTCAAATTTTGCCTTCTTATGTTTTTAGACATTCAACTTTTAGATTTTCCACTTTCTAACTCATTTCTCTGATCTAAAAAAAAAGAAAACATAGCCAAATACTGGGGCTAAAGCATGAGGCACCCATTGTCGGGAAACTAAATGTTCAAATTACACTCTGTCTCCCTCTCTGATGAATTGATAAATGAGGATCCAGTCAGAGACATCACACTAACACAATTTCCCGAACAATCTATCCAGACAGGCATGGCTTAGACACAGAGAGGCGAATCCAAGCTCGGCGTTCCAATTTCAGCTACGTGTTTCCAGAACATTGGAAACATTGGTCCCTCTTCTTGAGTCATTAGGCATGAGAGGATATATTTTGACAGCTAGAATACTTTTTTTTTTTTTTTTTTTTTTAGGAAGGACAGTGAAATCTGGGTTTTTCAAATTCCACCGACGTAGTGTGTGGATTATTCAGGTTGCTGGGCTTTGAAGCATAGCTGAAGACCTGGGATTCTCTTGCAATTAGAAGATTAAAGTAAGATAAATTGGCACTCACAGTTGTGGCAGGTGGCCCCACTGTATCCCGTCTCATCGCAAGTGCATTTGAAGCTGTCCCACGTTTGCGAGCACTTCCCACCATGCTCACAGTGATTGGGTACACATCTGTCAGAGAAAGAGACAAACAGAAATAAACCAACAAACAAATGAGATTTATGAGTGGCCAAATTCCAAGCTGTCTTGGCAATATATCATTTCAATGCCAGGTTGCCTTACCAAGGCAATTAATCCTTGTTAGTTTAAGCAGATTAATATGATTCATGATGGAAGTGCCAAGCGCAACAAAGATGATGCATCACAGGCTTGGTGCTTCCCAAATCTTAGTAAATAGTAGACACCAACAAACAGTGGAGGGATTCATTTGCATATCACAGATTCATTTTATTTTTCTTTTACCCCCACACAAAGACTCCAGCTAAGTTCAATTCTGGTGAGAGATGAAAGATAAGCCCTCCTTTTTTCCTGTCCTATTTTGTTCTTTGTCAAGACCAGCACCAAGTTAAAGAGGGGTAACACAGAGTTTTCCACAGCAATAAGAGTTTTTGAAATAATGCCACAAAAATATATTAATCTGAAAAGATTTCTAGGTCTTCAAGCATCTCCGATGCACAGCTGGATAATGAAAGCAGCCAACTTGAAGAGGAAAGAAATATTTTATTGTAAGGGAAAAATATAAGTTTTGTATTCAAATCTATGTCTTTCTATTTATTTAGACAAGTATTTAATAATTGTGACTACTTAATTTAACCTTTCTGAAACTCAATTTGCTCTTTTGAAAAATAGGATAGTCTCATCTATCTCATAAATAATTTTAAGGTTTGGAGATAATGCTTATGAAGTAGGTAATTAATAAGCAGGAAATAGTGGGACAATAAATAGGAGCAATAAATATCTGGATCACAGTTTCCAGGGCACAGCTTGATTGTACCTTAGCAATAGTGAAGTTGAAATTTGTTCTGGAACACTCTTTCCATTGAAACAAACTCTTTCCTTTCTTCTGGTCCTAACCCCTTTCCTTCTCATCAATTCCTTTCTCCAACTTCTCCACAACATGAATCTTTATCATCTTGGTTAAGATGCTGACAGATAACAAAAGGTATTAATTGTATGTATCAGCATCACAAAGGATGTTTAGATTTTAATAGTAAAATCTTAAAAATAGAACCCCCTCCCAGATTAAAATAGCAGAATCTGTAAGAGTGGGTCACAGGCAGTGGACTGATAAGAGAGCCACCCTGAAGGAACCCCTTAATCATAATGCCCTAGTAGCTCCTTGTTGCAGAATGTTATACAGCTGGTCTCAGAAATAACATCCTCCAACCCTTGTCCTTGACTGATCATTAGCCATGCCTAAAACCAATTGTTCAGTTTGGCATGGAACACCCAGGTTCTATGTAGATATGCTGTTCTTTACAAACGTTGACTCCTGCAACGATATTGAACACTTGCTATATATACAGCACTATGAAAAATAGAAGATGAATAAGATTATATTCAGACCTTTTAAAGAGCTTGCCTATGAAAGTAGATACATTATGTATAAAAGCTATAATGTAAGGCAGAAATGAGAAATGACATAATGCATGGACAAATACCATGGGATTTCGCATGAGGGATCATATGTAGATTTGGGGTAAAACTAAAAGCTTTTAGGTTGAACTTCGGTGAATGGACAGGATTATAAGAAAAGGAAATGAGAAGAAGAACAATATTGGGGGTAAGTACAGTAAAAACAAAGGAGTGATGATGGATTCATGAGGGATGGAAAATTTACTCTAAATTAATAGCTACTTTTCGTAGAATTTGGGCTTAGTGTTATCAATCCTACAAAGAGGGTTCGTCTCTAAAGATCTTATAACCTAGGCAGAAGTGGGGGTTGGGTATAAGATTTATGCAAAATATAAAACCAGGAAGAATTTGATGAGTCATAAAAGAAATATGAAATGCTATGTAAATGTGGATATTAGAAGAGTTATGGGTGGATGATACTTAATAAAGATTAGAAAATTTCTCCTGGGCATAAAAGACAGTTACATGTTTACATTGAAAATTATTTTAGAAGAGTAAGTGAAAAAAGTACTAACAAGGAGGTAGGACAGTGGGCAGTGGGTGGTCTAGGGTTGTTAGGGTCATTCCTTGGCCACTAGGCTATGCAACCCCAAGGCAGGGGCCACAGCAGAAGGCATTTACATTGGAGCAGGCCTGATTCTCCACACCACGGAAGCAAGCAATGCACCAGACTCCACAACTACATGAAAGTAAAACACTCTTGATGGCTGTTTTTGGAATTCAGTATGTATATGCATTTGCGTAGTATATTTACTTTCTAAATTATTGTGGGTTAATATTAACTCAGCCTAATATTGAAAGTAATTTACATCAGCTCATTATATCAATTAATTCAGGGGGAAGCAGTGCAGAAGTGTACTGAGTAGCAAAGGGAAACTTGGTTGGAATCTAAATGTGCTCCAAATGAGGCACAAAGTAGAAAATCCACATTTCAATGACAGAAAAAATGACTGTGCATTTGCACACATGAAAAGCATATAACCATCAAGTTATCTGAATAGGGTCATCCCTCAGCATCTGTGAGGACCATTCCAGGACCATTCCTAATCATCCTGATTCAAATGTAATTTCAAACCATAATATCTTGCCACTATATATATATATATATATATATATATGTATATATGTGTGTGTGTGTGTGTATACCTAAAATTTTTTTTTTGTTTCAACATATTACAGGATACAAATATTTACATTATAGATATTGCCTTTGCCCCACCCAAGGCATGCACATTTATATATATATATATATGTGTATATATATATAAAAAACATATATATACATATATATATATATATATATGATATATATACATACTTTTTAAAGTTAGGACCAGTTACCAAGCAAAGCAAAATAAGAATTAGCCTAACTGCCCATTTCCTAATACCAAAACTCGTGCATGATCAAGTCCCTTATATAAAGTGGTATAATATTTGCATTTAACCTATGCTCATCCTCCCATATACCTTAGATCATTCCTAGATTAGTTACATTTTTATTGTTGTTATTTTTTTATTGTTTGTTTCTTTCCAAATATTTTCCATGTACAGTTGGTTGAATCCATGGATATGGAACCCATGAATATGGAGGGCCAACTGCTTCCAAAATTCAGTACTAAAGATTTCTTTAAAAAGTGATTTTTTAATTTAAATGGGGTTTTAATATTTTATTTTTAATGTTTGCTTCTTGTGATTTATATTTATAAATTTGACATTCTCCTTATGATGATTTTGGTACTCTAATTCTCAATGGTGGGAAATGTTTTATTTCCTAATCATCCTGATTCAAATGTAATTTCAAACCATAATATCTTGCCACTATATATATATGTGTGTGTGTGTGTGTGTGTGTGTGTGTGTGTATACCTAAAAAAATTTTTTTTTGTTTCAGCATATTACAGGAGTACAAATATTTAGGTTATAGATATTGCCTTTGCCCCACCAAAGGCATGCACATTTATATATATATATATATACACACATATATATACTTTTTAAAGTTAGGACCAGTTACCAAGCAATTCAAAATAAGAATTAGCCTAACTGCCCATTTCCTAATGATTTATTTTTTCTGTATTCCCATAGAACAGTTTGCATGTGTCCAATACACTATTATACCATTGCTTAGTAATTATTTCTTGGTGCATGTGTCCCTTGTAAACTCAGGCTCCTGCAGTTAGAGATTTTTATCTTATGATTCTTTACATAAAAAGGTAACTCAGTAACTGTTTATTGACAGATTGACTGGAGGAAATGGATGAATCTAATCCTAGAAAGTAATACCACCAAAAAATTGAAATAATTTCAAAGGAAATATCTGTTTTACTGTGATAAATATAGATCATTTTCCTCTATGATTTTAGTCTTAAATCCAGAACTCTGCTATAATAAATTAAGTTTTTAGTAGACACAGGAAATGTGTAATTTGTTACATGCGTGTCCTAGCTTGAAAGTTTGATTCACATCGAAAATGAATCAGAATGACTCACTGCTTCTACACGGGAACGACTTGACCAGGATCAGGAACATACAGGGGAGAAGTTGACAGTTGCCAATTGGTTGTGATCAAAGGGCTCCAGATCAGTGATGAATCCAATTAACTCTGACTCTAGACAGCCCTCCCTGTCTCCTTTGCTTGGAATCATGCTTTTAGTTATGGATTCTTAAAGTGATTCAGAATCAAAATGCATTGTATCCAAATGAAATTTATGAATATTCCAATACATAAGACAAACATAAGCTGTATTTTGAAAGTTCAAATATGAAACAATGACTTACTATCAAATGGATCCACATGGGCAGAGTGGCTGTTTGGATGGATGCGACCATTCAGTCCAGAGTAATGGACGACAGTTGCTGTTTTATTTTACCCACAGTGTCTCTTGTGTTTCTGCACTCTATTTTAATTGCAATGCATTGAGAACATTGGCATTCACGGATATAAGAAACTGCTAACATTTGTTTGTTTGTAGTAGCTCACTCTGTAGTTTATGGATACTGCTTAATGAAAGAGGGATAGAAAAAGAAATTCATTTCAAATCTAAAAAATGTTAACCTGACAGCATAACTGAAAGTGCTGGTAATCTTCAAAGTACTTTGAAGATGTTTAAAAGTTTAAATGGGTATTTTTATTTATTTATTTATTTATTTATTTATTTATTTATTTGAGACAGAGTCTCGCTTTGTTGCCCAGGCTAGAGTGAGTACCGTGGAGTCAGCCTAGCTCACAGCAACCTCAAACTCCTGGGCTCAAGTGATCCTTCTGCCTCAGCCTTCCGAGTAGCTGGGACTACAGGCATGCGCCACCATGCCCGGCTAATTTTTTCTATATATATTAGTTGGTCAATTAATTTCTTTCTATTTATATTAGAGACAGGGTCTCACTCTTGGCTCAGGCTGGTTTCAAACTCCTGACCTCGAGCAATCCACCTGCCACGGCCTCCCAGAGTGCTAGGATTACAGGCGTGAGCCACCAAGCCCCGCCTAAATGGGTATTTTTAAATAAAATTCAAATCAAATCTTTGTGTTACCTTTAA